ATATTATATTTATAATAAAATTATTTATTTAAAAAAAAAAAATATATATATATATATATATATATATATATATATATATAAATGTATAAAAAGTGCAATATATATCGTGTTCTCGATTAAAAAACAAAACCGCTTGCTATTCTGGAAAACTATTTGATTTGACTTACGAAGCGTCAAGCGTGTCGACCAAGCCAAACGAGGTTAGTGATGAAAGACGAAAATTTGCAAGTATGAAGAAAATGTTTTATATTTTTTTCGCTTTTCTGAAATTGAAAATCGTATAATAGTAACTATCAAACACAATATATAACCGTTCTCCTTTTGAATGTCGTTTGGTGCACTGGAGGTAAGGTAAAAGGTCGGTTGGCGCACTAGAATGTAGTGTTCATTATTGTGCTTGTCTTTCTCTTCTTCAGTTTTCAATACAATTGTTAATGTGCTATGTATCTTCTGCCATTTGTTGCATGCTATTTTTATCTGTGACCATCTCAAGTTTCGAACAAAATAAAGTTTTCTTATTGTGGATATGTATCTTAATATTAAGAAACTGCACCATTAGGTCGAACTAGTATATATGTGTAAGGATTCTTATGGATTAAAAAAAAATTATGAAACGGAATATATTATTGTGAAGTTATTATTTGCTGCCAACACAGAAGAGTCTTGTAGTTGGCAAGGATGAAGCTCGAGCTAGAACTACCCTTAAAATGCAGTGCTGCAGGTGCATTTTTGTTGTTGTCGTGGTCATCATCATTGGTATCGAAATCTTTTATACAATTTAATGGGATAATACTCGTATGAGTATAGTTGATTTTGGTCATGTTATGTCTAATTTATGTAGGAATTAAAGATGTGAAAGAGCTATTACTGTAATGGGAACTAGTTATTAATTGCTAGCATTAACATCTGTCAGGGGTTGGAAGAAGAAGAAATGTCATCGGGCTGCGAGCGTACAAGAGACACTAATGAAAGTGGAGCAGTGGAGAAGATTGGATCTTGGAAACAAGGCAAGAAAAGACAAAGGCAATGCTTTGATGCAGAAGCTGCTTTGGCATACCTTGGTCACTTGCAATATACCGATCAAGCAGTGTTTTGGAGGCACTCAGTTAACGAGGAGGGAAAGTTGGAGCATTTGTTTTGGTGTGATGGAGCCAGCCAGAAGGACTATGCAGTATTTGGTGATGTTTTGGCTTTTGACACGACTTATAGAAAAAATAAATACATGAGTCCTTTGGTGCTGTTCTCCGGGGTGAATCATCATAACCAGACCACTGTATTTGCTAGTGCCTTTGTTGCAGATGAGACTGAAGAAACGTATGTGTGGCTTCTAGAGCAGTTTCTGGTAGCAATGGGTGGGAAAACACCTGTATCTGTTATAACTGAGGACAATGTGCCTATGAGGAGTGCCATAAGAAGAATATTTCCTAATGCTTATCATAGATTATGCGCATTTCACCTTCTACGAAATGCAAAAGCCATTGTCAAGAACGAAAGATTCACGGCAGAGTTTAAGAAATTTATGTTTGATGATTATGAGGTTGGTGAATTTGAGCTTAGGTGGGATGAAATGGTTCAAGAGTTTGGGGTGCAAGACAATAGCTGGGTTAGAGAGATGTGGGAGAAGAGGAAGATGTGGGCCACGGCTCATATTCGTGGATTTTTTTTTGCTGAAAACAGGACCACATCTCGGTGCAAAGGTTTGCGTTCTGTACTTGTGAAATTTGTAGATTCACACAACGATTTGACAGAATTCTTGCAGTACTACATGAAGTTCCTGGATTATATGCGCCATAAAGAACTTGAAGCTGACTTCAAATCTTGGAATGGTGAGCCTGTTTGCATTACACCGTTGAAAAAATTGGAGAAGTCAGCTTCAAAGGTGTTCACAAGGGAGATATATTTGCTATTTCGTCCTGTGCTTATGGAAGGATGCTCAGTTAGCGTAGTTGATTGTCAGGAAACAACAATGTTTTCTATTTATGTTGTGCAGAAGTATCTGGTGATAGGAAAGGAGTGGCGTGTTTCATTTTTCCCATCAACTTCAGAATTAAAATGTTCATGTCTGAAGATGGAATCTTTGGGTATTCCATGTGATCACATAGTTGGTGTGATGAAATATCTACACATGACTGAGATGCCTAAAAGTCTAGTCCTAGATAGATGGGCCAAGAACACAAAGGGATCGCTCGTCACTCTTTGTGGTGTTTGCAAGGCTGCGGGTCATTGTTTGAGGTCATGCCCAGCTCAGATGAACAAAGACAACATGGCGCTTGATAATGACGATGATGATGAAGATGATGACGACTATCGATTTCTATAATGACAATGCAAGTGCTGATACAGTAAGTACTTATTGACAAAATAGTGAGCATAACCTTATGTTAGAGTTGTTCATAAAGCTCAAGGTTGCAAATAACATATTCTGATAGTAAATGAGATAATTGGCTCAACTATGTGATTTAGTTTTATTTTGAGTTGTATGCCTCATGTAACTTGCATTCTGCATATGCTCCGTGCCAGCATAAGCTGCATTTACCTTGTCCAATTAATTTTATTCGTGCTTGCTGATTACCGTTGTTCAATGAAACTGCATTCGTTCTTTGATTGAGAAAACTAGTATGCGTGTTGTATTCGAGTGTGACAAAGGCAAACCATCATTGCATAACCGTCACTCCCATTAACGCGCCACTTGCACGTTCTCGGGAAATGACCAGTTGTGACACATGGCACCTCGATAAACAGGTGTAGGCGAAAGGCCATTACTCCCTAACGAGCTCGGTCTTAAACTCCTCGACCCACGGTCTTCGGAGCTCGGGGGGCTAGTACTGTACTATCCGTACTGCCATGCCGAGCTCGAACTCGGCACAGTTGCGTGGAATAACCTCGGAACACGCATTTGGAGACCTCGGTCTAAACGAGATCCGCAATCCAGCCAGATCATAACCGATCTCAGGAGATCTCGGTCCAGACGAGATCCGCTATCTAATTAGATCATAATTGATCTCAGGCCCAAGACCCAACACAACCCTAACTCACACTAAGGTACGTGCATTACTTATACGAGACATCTACTCATACAAACCCTAATTTTAGCGTCGGAGTCTCTTTTGCAGGTACCACCCCCATCTTGGAGCATCAAGCGTACCAGTGAAGGAGGCTCACCAATCTTACTCGGAGGATCATCTCTACAGCCGATCTCCGGTAAGAACATGTTACATTGCATTGAATAACAATGTGTTAAAACTATCTGGTTGCTACTACTTTAGTTCTTGCTTTGATAATTCAGTTGTGTCTAGCAGCAAGTTCGTACGGCCAGGGGATGGAATTATGAAAAGAAAAAGAAATAAAGAAAGAAAAGAAAATAAATTAGGGAAGAGTGTGGATGAAGGGGTATCCACTAAAACATTTGTAACTAAGGAGAGTTATTTTATTACCAAACAAGCCTTGAAAAGAACTCTCTTTATTCATAAAAGTTTTAACTCTTATCCTAATGCTGCCATTAATCTTGAAGTTGAAAATTTTCAACTTCAAGATATAGTGAAGAAGGAGTGGACTATCTCTAGTTTTACTCCTTATACTACTTCCTTAGAGGTGCACAAGGGAGAGAGTATTTCTGTGGTCTTAATAAAGCACCCAATTTTTGGTTTACATTGTTTGGTGGATACAACTTGTATTAATCTATATTCCATGTTTGCTCTTATGGGAAGTTCTTACTCTTTTGAACTTAATTTTATTCCTTCCCTACAAGACAAATGTAGCTTATATGATTATGAGTATCTATTAAACAATCAAATCCAAAATTGTTTAGGGCGTTTTCTAGTAGTCTTTTCTTTATACTCTAGGAAAAACCTAGGTTACCATTTAGGGTATTTTAGGCAAGATGTTGTAGTGTTTAAGAATCATTCTTTTCATTGTCTTAGTCATAGTGTCACTACATTTTTAGGATTTCCTTCTAGGTTATGCTTAGAAGAGGAGCCTATTTCTACTTTTAGGGAGTCTAATTTCGATAGTTTATTTTTCTTTTTTAGGCTAGATAAAAGGACTCCTCTTAGGATCCATAATCCATTTTCTTACCATGAAAATTTCACCTCTTATACATGGCATGTTCTAAATGTAGGTGATGATTCTTATTCCATGCATCCTCGAGATTTGCGGACAAATTCTTTTCAAGATGGAGGGGATGATGGAATCATGCTTATGAAGGCAAGAGGTGACAACCTAAAAGATCCAAGAGGAGTGGGCTAAGCATGGAGGTTTGGGCCAGTCAAGGCCCAATGGGCCCATTGGGCCTTGGAAGGCCAAGTTAAGCTTTACATGGGCCTATCTTGTTATAGCCATTCTTCTTATGTTTAGTTAGTATATTTTCCATATATTTTGGTCTTTTATTTTGGACCACATAGAGTAGCATTTTTAGGCTTTAGGCTTATTGGGCCTAGTTTTGGGTTTCATGGGCCTTTGGGCTGTTGGTACCTAATATTGGGCTCATTTTCATTCTTGTAATTTTTCCTTTTCATTGTATTTGTTTGGCCATTGTATTTAGGCCATTAGAATAGGAAAATACAAGGATTACTTAAGTGGATGGATTAGCTCACATTAGGTTTAATTTGGAAGTCATTTAAGTTGCATTTGAGTCACATGTTTCCTACTACTAGTGGCTGAACATGTGCTTGCTTAAATCAACCCTAAATGCTATCTAAATTAAATCTAAATGCATGGAACACCAAAACTCACGGCCAAGCACATGTGCACCTAAATTTGAATTCAAATTTCAAATTTGAATTCAAACTTTAGGCGCCAATTTGTGTAGCCTTGTTTAGGCGCCAATGCTACTCAAATCCGTGACTACTTAACTAAATGCCTCCCATTGTATAATCACTTTTGATATATAGAATTTCTGAACATTTCTTCAGCCAAATTCTTCAAGAGTCACCGAGAGAGAGAGTGCCTTCAAACCCTAGGAACCTTGCTTAGTTTCCTACCATTGAAGTGAGCAATCTCTTGATGCTTAAGCTTGGATACTTTCATCCATAGTTTAGGTTTCTTTGTTCCAAAATCTACCATCCTACAAACCTTTTTCATTCGATCATTATTCTTCAAAGAAGAGATCCTACGCAAGGTGAAGGCAAGGAGGAGTTCTTCAATCATTTCTCCTAGTTTTCTCCATCACTAGTGCCTTTGTTGCAGATGAGACTGAAGAAACCTATGTGTGGGTTCTAGAGCAGTTTCTGGTAGCAACGGGTGGGAAAACACTTGTATCTCTTATAACTGAGGACAATGTGCCTATGAGGAGTGCCATAAGAAGAATATTCCCTAATGCTTATCATAGATTATGCGCATTTCACCTTCTTAGAAATGCAAAAGCCATTGTCAAGAACGAAAGATTCACGACAGAGTTTAAGAAATTTATGTTTGATGATTATGAGGTTGGTGAATTTGAGCTTAGGTGGGATGAAATGGTTCAAGAGTTTGGGGTGCAAGACAATAGCTGGGTTAGAGAGATGTGGGAGAAGAGGAAGATGTGGGCCACGGCTCATATTCATGGATTTTTTTTTTTGCTGAAAACAGGACCACATCTCGGTGCAAAGGTTTGCGTTCTGTACTTGTGAAATTTGTAGATTCACACAACGATTTGACAGAATTCTTGCAGTACTTCATGAAGTTCCTGGATTATATGCGCCATAAAGAACTTGAAGCTGACTTCAAGTCTTGGAATGGTGAGCCTGTTTGCAATTACACCGTTGAAAAAATTGGAGAAGTCAGCTTCAAAGGTGTTCACAAGGGAGATATATTTGCTATTTCGTCCTGTGCTTATGGAAGGATGCTCAGTTAGCGTAGTTGATTGTCAGGAAACAACATTGTTTTCTATTTATGTTCTACAGAAGTATCTGGTGATAGGAAAGCAGTGGCGTGTTTCATTTTTCCCATCAACTTCAGAATTAAAATGTTCATGTCTGAAGATGGAATCTTTGGGTATTCCATGTGATCACATAGCTGGTGTGATGAAATATCTACACATGACTGAGATGCCTAAAAGTCTAGTCCTAGATAGATGGGCCAAGAACACAAAGGGATCGCTCATCACTCTTTGTGGTGTTTGCAAGGCTGCGGGTCATTGTTTGAGGTCATGCCCAGCTCAGATGAACAAAGACAACATGGCTCTTGATAATGACGATGATGACGACTATCGATTTCTATAATGACAATGCAAGTGCTGATACAGTAAGTACTTATTGACAAAATAGTGAGCATAACCTTATGTTAGAGTTGTTCATAAAGCTCAAGGTTGCAAATAACATATTCTGATAATAAATGAGATAATTGGCTCAACTATGTGATTTAGTTTTATTTTGAGTTGTACCTGTGCAGAAGCTGATGCCTCATGTAACTTGCATTCTACATATGCTCCGTGCCAGCATAAGCTGCATTTACCATGTCCAATTAATTTTATTCGTGCTTGCTGATTACCGTTGTTCAATGAAACTGCATTCGTTCTTTGATTGAGAAAACTAGTATGCGTGTTGTATTCGAGTGTGCTGATGAGAACAATTGATTTGATTTCACTTTTCAATTCTTTTATGCATTTATTAAACTTAATACCCATAAATAGATGCAAAATTGTTGAGGCATTACAAATAAGTGGCAAGGTTTGCACTCTTGGGATGCATATATATTTTGCACTGAAAGATGAACGCTTGTTACTGGCAGATTTGAAGGCTGCCAAAACTGATCAAGATTGTTTAAATTACTTACAAGACGTATGTATGTTAGGATTGTTCTTGTGGTGGCAAACAATCGATAGAATCAATAACTATCCTTCACTCTAAGATTATAGGACATGCAATAGGCTTATAGTACTATGGTTGGTGAATATATTAGAAATAATTTTCGAGGTTCTGCATATCCTAGTGACATGTGTGCAGTTGAAAATATTTGGTATGCCTTGTATACAGTTGAAGCAGCTTAAACTGCATGGCAAGCACAAATTTTTGACATGATGTGTCATGAGGAATGTTAGTTATTATCACTATCTCTTTAATTATTTGCTGTGGTGTTGTTTGGGTTTTGACATGATTTGTGGTTGATCTGGTTTCATGTTGTGTACTATCCGTACCGCTATGCTGAGCTCGAGCTCGGCATAGCTGCGTGGAATAACCTCGAAACACGCATTTGGAGACCTCGGTCTAAACGAGATTCGCAATCTAGCCAGATCATAACCGATCTCAGGAGATCTCGGTCCAGACGAGATCTGCTATCTAATTAGATCATAACTGATCTCAGGCCCAAGGCCCAACGCAACCTTAACTCACACTAAGGTACGTG